TGATGCCCACATTTCAGATAACAGCAGTATGAATGGTTCCTGATTATGGTGCCCAATACATGCCAACTTCTTCATACCATTACCATAATACCCTGCTGAGAGTGGTTGGGGAGTGAACCAGGATCTATCACCTCCCAAATCCAAGGCTATTTAATCTACTAGGACTGAAATTAAAATTAGAAATTTAATAATAGATTGTTTCTTACAATGAAGAAGCAGGAAGTCAAGGAGTCCTATTTATTACACTTAGAAGTAATTAGGGTCCCCTTCAGGGACAAAGGCAAAAAGGAATGCTACATATCCTGGAATCAAATTTCCCCATTAACAAAACAATTATAATTTCTTTTGTAAATGATTTAAATTTTTATTCTCTAAAACGTTTTGAATTTTCCTAAAAAGACAGTTATGTGTGTATGTGATATGTGTATGTGTGTATTTATATACATATATGCATATATGAATTTGATACAGATAAATTATATAAGCTTCTATTTGGAAAGAGTCTCCCTCAAAAAAAAAAAAGTAACAATGAATTAAAATTGAGGAGCTGTGTACTATTCATAGATAGAAATCTGATACTCATTCCTTAACAACACCAAGATTAGAATATGTTCAATACCATTAGTTTAAGAATGTAGTTTAGGGCTCGCCTGGCATGCATGAGGCAATGGGTTCGATCCTCAGCACCACATAAAAATAAAAAAAGATATTTAAAAAAATGTAGTTTATTATGTAAAACACATAAATGTCTTGTTAAAAAATCCCACCCAATAGGTGGGTATGGTGGGCCACACCTGTAATCCCAGCTACTCAGGTGGCTGCACAAGAGGATCACAAATTCAAGGCCAGCTTAGGCAACTTAGAATTTAGCCTAAAAATAAAGAAAAGTATGTCTCAAAAAAAAAAAAAAAAATGGCTGAAGATATAGCTCAGTGGCAGAATGCCACTGGGTTCAATCCCCAGTACTGTAAAAAAAAAAAAATTCTCTTCAAAATGATTTAAAAAATGAAAAACATGTAAAGAAATTAACATGAGAATTCATTTTACCAAAAAAAAAAAAAATTAAGGTTTCTCTAAGATAATAGCTGGGAATAGTAGATAAAAGAACCAATATTTCCACTTGTGCCTACCCAGAGATAGACCCTATTACATCCTTCTCTTACTTAATTTCCAAGGCAACCACTTTATCCATGAAGAAATCAAAGCTCAGATACATTAAGTTGCAATGCTATCAATTTCCATTTTAATTCACATACCTTTTATTATAAATTGTATGCTTTTTTTAACTCCCCAACACTCATCTCAACTCCATGGGGTTGTATAATTRGAATCAGGGACACAAGCTCACTGACAGATTCCAAAATCTCCTTCTGTTGCTGTGACATGGAGAGCAATCAGCAAAAAGTCTTTGAATCTTAGTTCTGTTGCAGTCCACTGGCAAGCACCATACTTGCATTTTTAAATCTGAAGAACTAACTTGATAAGTCAGTGTACACACTGGCCTTTATACATGGCTGTCTGACTTCTCCAGTTGTTGGGAGGTCTCTATWAAATACAATTCATGCATGGGGATACAGCTCAGTGGTAGARTGCTTTGCCTACCTCACAGGAGACCCTAGCTTCAATCCTCAGCACGACAAAATTTAAAGTAAAACTATATAAATACAAGTTCATAATTGCATAGTAGTCAAATTACTAAGCAATATAGGTGACTTTCCCTAATTTTATTACCAATCAAATATTCCTACCTTAAGAACCTGGAGTTAAAATGATTATACCACRGRGACCACAGCCAGCTTATGTGACCRTCATTCTGAGTCCTCTAACACCCCATCCTGCATCACCATTTCCTGTAGTACCTGCTCTRTAGCTTCTGCMTTCTTTGCTCCCACTATTCACTAAGCTCTTAAAAGAGGTCTGAGGATTCAAAGAAACCACACACACAGTTTAGTAAGGGGAAGCCAAAAAGAGAGTGCCATCCACACATCAGATGTCCCTCATGCTCTACATGCTTYATTTCATGCAATTCAAAGTCCCCAGTTTCCAGATCAGGAGAATGAGGTTTAGAAGTTAAATGACTTGATACATACCTASGCAATACTAACCACACCATGTTCTCTGCCCTACACCCAACATTCACACCTGTTTCAGCTCCACTGTTCCTAAACCACTGAAGACTTCTAAAACATATTTAGCCAAAATCACCAGACAGTAGGTATGAAATCAATCTTATCAATGTGTTGCTTACTTTGATATGTTCATCAAACACCACGCTTCCTCCAATTAACACA